CAGACAAAGCGACCCGAAGACTGCAACGGTGCACTGCGATCCAACAGGCCGCATCCCACGACTGAACCCCGAACACTGTGTGTTAACGTTACCTGTACTGCTCGGCACGGTCCCCATGTCACACAGGTACAGGCTGCGCTCAGGTGCGCGGAAGGCACGTATTCCTGCTGTAGAGTTTTGCTCTCGGTATTCCAAATTCGTAGTCTCCCGTCCTGTGCGCAGAGAGCCAGAAACTGTTGTGATTTGGGGCTGAAGGCGCAGGGAAGCGCAGCTCGGCCTCCGTCCGCCGCCATCTTAGCAGTCCGCGTGTGTCCGTCTGCTTCACGGGAAACACGTGTGAGAGAAAGTTCCAAAGCGCACATGCGCAGCTGCACAAGCGCTACGAAGACGCTAATTGGCCCTCCTGGGTTTGGTGGGCGTGCCATTGTTTTTAACCAACCACAGACGGACGCGGAAGTTTCATACTCGAATTTTGCTATGGAATTTGTGATGGTTATATAGTGGAAGTTGAATTATCTTTGTTATCATCAAATGCAATTTCATTTGCTTTCTATAACTGAAATGAATGCGCTTTACTACATAGTACCTAAGTCAAGTATATTTCATCATTTTAAATTATATGTATTTACTAACTGTAACATAAAATATAAAACTATATAACTATTACAGAAAAAAATAGACTATTAGTAGACTATCTATTCAAAATTATAATTCTGTGACATATAATGGAAACGGTTACACATTTATTTTGTACAATTATTCTAAATAATTATGGGTCATATCTCTTCATATAGGCTATTTAGCATTTAAATAGCCTAAACTAACATTTATGTGCATTTAACAAATAATTCCAAAAACGTTCTATTTGAAAAACCTTAATTTATTTTATTTATATATGATATAAATAAAATATATATGAAGAGTTCAGATGCAAAAGCCTCTAAATGCCATTTGAAATTTTCTTCTTTAATGTTGATTTTTATCAAACTTGTATATTTAAGTTCAGTAATTTCACTTAAATAACAATTAATAGGTAATTATCATTGCCATTTAAGTGAAATCACTTAACTTAAATATACAAGCTTGATAAAAATGATCATTCTAGAAGAAAATTTCAAATGGCACTTAGAGGCTTTTGCATCTGAACTCTTCATATGTACGTTTATAAACGAGTAGCCTACAATCATTTGGTTATGTTGCTGCAAATATATATTTTTTGTATTTCTTGGTAACACTATGATAAGGTTTCATTAGGTAACATTAATTAACTAGTTAACATGAACTAAGAATTAACAATTCTTCTACAGCATTTATTAATCTCATGTTAATTTCAACATTTATTATTTGCCTACTTCAAAATCAAATTTGTATTTGTTAACATTAGTAAATGTTCTGTGAATTAACATGAACAATCAATGACCAGCTGGATTTTTATTACGTTTTAATAAATAGGCCTACTGTAACACATGCATTGCTCATTGTTCGTTAATGCTAGATAATACATTAACTAATTTAAGTTAAAAAATGAGACCTTATTGTAAAGTGTTACCATTTACTTATTTATTTTTATTTATTTTGTATAAAGAAATGTATTGAGTCAAACAGATTTAAACCTAAATGTAACTAATAAGGTGATTAAGTTTTATAATAAGGAAAACACATAGACTATATATAGGCTTTAAGAAAATAATTCCCTTGACCTAATCATAAACCCTCGTAAATTGCTATATTTAATATTTTAAAGATATTTATTATCAGGGAAACTGAATCAGGACAGACAAATCTGAACAAGTTTAAGAGAAAGAAACCATCTACCGGTGACCAGATGGTACTGCATCTATCAGTGACGTCTTTTCCATCATGGCGGCGCCCTTTGAGAATCATGCTGGATTGTTTTTCCTTTTAACATAATGGACACAGGTTAAGTTGTCATTTACGATAATACCCTGCCTGTAAATAATTATATAGCGAATTATTTAGGTATTATTACAGGTCGTTTGAAATGATCCAATTACTACAAATTTGTTTGACTTTATTATTTTTTGTCAAAGCTAAGGTTATTGAGTAGAGGTATATTGTAGTGAATTAAATGCATGATTTGCGAGTTCCTACCAGTAGCAGGCTACGTCTATTCTGGTCTGTGTAGAAGGGCTCAATAGCTGCTGCTGTGTGATGTTTCTGAAATCTGTGTGGTGAGAAGAACGTGTGCCATCTTCATCCTTCAAGTTATTCTTTCTTCAGCTCAAAACCATGACAGTTTTACTGCATTTGGGTCTCTCATTCATGACTCGTAAATTTGGCAGACATCATGTGGTTCGGATTAAACCATTTCTCTGTGGCCCGAGGAGCTTTGGGACTGACCCAAATGATTCTGACAAGGGTTCAGATCCACCCGTGTCCACCTTTCCACCGTTCTCTCAAAGATCTTCTTTGTTTGGAAGACGTCGACCTCTGTCCCCACTGGAGAGAGTCAGTCAACTTATGCCTGAAGACAGTCTGAGTCAAGAGGTTTGGAAACTACGAGACACTCGAAACAATGAGGTTGAACATGACACTCCGAGTCTGGGGAAGGAGCGAGAAGAGGCAACAGAGGAACCTCAATTATTTGCTCCACATCATGTATGTGTTCCTGGGGAACGGCCAATGTGTTTCGGAGAGACTGTACTGTCCGAGTTCAGTCGAAAGAGACGTTTAGAGTTTCGGAAGATGTTCCAGCTAAAGGAGGGCATGAAGCTCCATAGTAACTGGGGATTAATAGCTCATGAAGACATGAAGGGACGTCCTGCTGGAAGCATCATACGCACTTCAATGGGAATCCCGATTCTCATTCGCCGACCCAGCCTGGATGAGTTCACTCTTTTTATGAAGAGAGGGCCAGCTATTGCATACCCTAAAGTAAGAAATGAGCTTCATCACAAAACTGCAGTCAGTCATCTATACATCAGTGAATCTGTAATATCTGCACTGTTTGCATTTCGGTCAGTGACACTCTCGTAAGATCTGGTTCATTTGATAATTTTAATGTCAATATGCATTAAATTGATCAATAGTAACAAAGACTTTTACATTTTTATATAAAAAAAATATTGACTACTTTTTTTTTTTTTTTTACAAATAAAATACTTAAAAAATAAAAGTCTACTGACCCCAAACGTTTGAAAGGTAATTTACATTCAAAGTGTAAGGAAAATATGTTATTACTTTTTACTTGATGGTTACACCACGAGTTTTATGCCAATGAAAACAAATCTCTCAAATCTCTTCTCTCTGCAGGACGCCAGTGCGATGTTGACAATGATGGATGTGACCGAAGGAGATTGTGTTCTGGAATCAGGCTCTGGATCTGGTGCTATGAGCCTTTTCCTGTCCAGGGCAGGTGTGTGAGTCTTCCTCCATCTTTTAAGTGTTCATTAAAAGCAATGAAATGAGTCGCCTGATTGTGAGGGTATTGTAGATGTGGGTATACTATTGCAGTACAGTATATCACTTACTGTAGGAATTAATTTATGCTTGTGTCATCAGTGGGTTATAAAGGAAGTGTTTTGAGTGTGGAGATAAGAGATGACCATCACAGAGTTGCTGTATTAAACTACAAGCGTTGGCGGTCCACGTGGAGTCTTCGACGAGGGGAGGAATGGCCTGATAATGTTCACTTTCACCATGGAGACCTCATATCTGCCGGTGCTCTTCTGGCTGGGCGGGGTTTTAACTCGGTGAGGAGCCACAACCTGTGATGTGTTTTATGTTTTTATCATAATATAAGAATCATTTGCTGTCTGTATATTCAAGACTTCTTGTTTTAGATCGCTCTGGACATGGTTAATCCACATTTGGCCTTACCTGCTGTGGTTCCTCACCTCCATCCGGGATCTGTGTGTGCTGTTTATCAAGCAAAGTAATACAAAATTCTGTACAAAAACTACAAAAGCAACATACAAACCTTATCTGACACTACCATTTAAAATTTTGGGGTCAATTAAGTCTCTTAAGCTCACAAAGGCTGTGTCTTTTTAATCAAAGTACAGTAAAAACAGCAATATTGTGAAATTATATTACAATTTAAAAACTGGTTTCTATTTGAGTACATTTTAAAATGTATCTTATTCCTTTGATGGCAAAGCTGAATTTTCAGCACAATTACTCCAGTCTTCAGTCACATGATCCTTCAGAAATCATTCTAATTTGCTGCTCAAGTAACATTTCTTATTGTATCCACTTTGATAACAGTTGTGCCATATATTTTTGTGGAAACCATGTTTTTTAATAGAAAGTTCAAAAGAACAGTATTTATTTTAAACTTAATAATAATTAATATTACGTTTATTTAATTATACCTTTATTAATAAAAAAAATTAACAGTAGTGTATAGAATGTATAAATAATGTTTTCTTGATTTTGTTGCCAGTATCACACAGGTCATTGATCTGATGGAGGGTCTGCGATGCTCCGCGCTTCCTCTGGTGTGTGAACGCATTGTTGAGGTTCAGTACAGGGATTGGCTTGTTGGCCCGTCACTCAAAAAGGATGGAACATTTAACAAACGAAAAGCTCCACATGAAGACGATGAATGTGATCCAAGTGAAGACACGGCAGGTGATTTATAACATGGTCTTTCTCGTATCATACAAATAACAGATTCTGCATTGCTTATATTACACAAAACTTCAAACATCAGAAAAAAACATTTCTGTTTAGAATCATTCTAACCTATCTGTGTTTAAGGGGATTTGAATTGTCAAGATCCGGTGCCATTTGGAGATGTCCCGTACATTGCACGTCCTCATCCTGATCAGACTGGTCATACAGGTGAGTTAGTAAATTGTTGCATTTAATAGAAATAGTAGTAGTAGTACTATACCATACCTAGGTATTTTATATGTGATTGAAGTGTGTACCTGATTCTTTATGTTTTTCTTTTCAGCTTTCCTCATAAAACTACGAAAGATCTTGAAATAGATGTACACAACTTACGTGCATAGAAGAGTACAACAAAGCTGCAGTGTCTCGTATATATGCTTTATCAATAAACTTGTCCAATAAAAGTCTTTTATTGTACATTTTTCTTTCATGCTCTTGAGTATTTAAGACACGAGTAAATTGAATCTAAATATCTGCTCAATTCATTTCATAGGTGTTCATTCACATTCATATTAGACAAATGTTATACTTGTTTCATTAAGACATAGACTCTCCGACAGTAAGTGCACAACACAGAAATAGCAAAGTACTCTGTACAACAATAACAAATAAATAAATAGTGATGAGAATTATTATACAGTAAAATACATGTACAAACCTTCACATAGTGAGAGGAATTTTTTTTTTGACATATTCTATAGATCTTATATGAACAATGTACATGACCATTACTCTTTTCACACCAATGCTGTACATTTCTTTTAAGGTCAGTTTAGAGACTGAAATTCTGTTCTGCCCCTTAGACAGCTGAAGTGCCTCTGATATAGACAACAGGCAAATATGATCGTTTTAATGTTACGCAATCAAGCTACTCTTCATTGATCCAGTCCATCGAATGATCTTGACACATTTCGCTGACCCCATCACTTCCTGAAAAATTTGAAAGTGAAAATTTCAGCTGGAGTGGCCAAAGTAAAACCCATCAATCATAAAATGTAGTGGTGCACACCATACATTTCCTTTCCACCGCTAGAGGGCGTCACACACTCATTTACCTGCTATAGTTGAGCAGTTAAAGGTGTACTGAGCTTTGGTCATCTTACGGGGCTTTTGTGAAGCTTTGGTCTTCGGGGGTACAGACGAAGAACCAGCCACAGTAGAGGATGGGCGAGGCACAGGAACAGCAGAGGTCTTGGCACAGAGAGAACAAGGCTCTGGAGAAGCAGAAGGCCCACGGGGAATGTGGATCCCCTCACAGTTTTGGTACAACCTCTGAGCACCACTGTGATGCTCTGCACGCTCACGCTGCCAGATGAAATGAGATGGCACAATAGCCATCACCTGCAATCAAGCAAAAAGTGATTTAGAGCTATATTTCAGGACTAGCAACTACTAAAATGATTTACAGTGCATGTTTAGTGAGCTGCGTACCTCCTCGCAGCATCGTCTGCTGACAGCAGCTCGATACTCTATGCGTGCCCATAGGTGGTCTCTTTGCTTTAGGAAACGTGGGAAATTTTTCCTCCAACTTTTTCCCAGAGCCCATGGGAAGATCTCATATTTGGTCTCCTCTTCATCCTCTTCCATTGTGTTTGCCAGATAGCTAGAGTATGAAAAATGTAATGAGGAATTAAGGTTGTACCCATAAATAGGACTTCTCTGTTGTGCTCATAATAACATATTGCAGTTCTATTGAAAAACTTTAACATCGCCAAGTACAACACTACATACTGTAAATACAGAAAAATGCTAAAGTAAAAACTAATAAAGTCTGACTGTTTTGTCTGACCTACCTGATCTAATAAGTTTTGAGCATGTTTTATGGACACTTATGATGAACTCTGATTCATCATGTGGCTTTCAATTGTACGACCATTATTATTTATTATTGGTGATTCAGACTTTGGTTCACAGTTCAAAACAGATATATTGACATTCTATCAAATAAAATGGTGATAGGTTGTTAAATATACATGCATCCCGTAAAACACTGTCACAGTATTTTTACAGTCCATTTCTGACAACCACAGCTGCTATTTTTTTATGATAAATGTAACAGGATATTTTTTACAGTGTACAGAACATGCACATAATGATCAACTCACAGGGCAAGGAAGAAGTTCATTCTGTTGTGTTCAGTGATACTGAAACGAGCCCTCCTGAAGTAAACAAATGTCATAGCCAACAAATACTATAATAGAAACACATACACAACTGGGTTTATAGACAGCTGAATATACAATTTTCTAAATTCAATAATGAGAATAATCTATAAACCACTCAATATTAATAAAACACCAAAATACGTCTTGCTACCTTGTCCGAAAGTTTGCAGCAGCAGTCCATCCACAGAAAGTCCTGTATTAAATCATCATCTGAGCAGACAGCAAATCAAAGCGTTATTATTCTAAAGAATTATATATATATATATATATATATATATATAGATCTTGATTTAATTTTTTTTTATTTAAACTAGAAATAAACCTGATGTAAAAGTGACCAGTGTGACAGAGGTTAATTTTGTTAAGAAGAATTCCTGAACCCACCGAACAGTCTGAAGAAGGCGGCCATCTCCTGCCTCTGGATCAGTATTGTCGGTCCGGTCGTCTTCCTACGAGGCTGCTGAGATGAAGAGTCCGGCTGGTTCCGACCCGTTGGGGTCGGCCTCGTTCTCCGCGGGCCTCGCCGGATCTGCAGACCGTGAGTGGGTGCAGACGGGGCGGTTTCGGCCCATGGTCGACTCAGTTTAATCATGTTTCAATGATTAAATCAGCCGATATTACAAAAGTGCCACTGTGTAAATAGTATAATTATATGATTATTCGATATTTATTTTAGTATGAATGGCATGCGTATTTCGTTATCTATTGAATTCCTGTTCGTTTTGTCAGACTTTTGCTAAATACAAATCAATTTAAAGTAGCGTCTTGAAATCCATGACCTAAAGAAAGATAAAAACAAATTCTCACCATTTCTATCGGACTAAGATATAAATACAAATGTTTATATGCCGAATTTGTGGTTGTGGTAATTACAATTTTATATAAGCGAGTTTTCAATTGTAAACCAGATTTACCTCAGTTTAAAAAACCGCGACTTAGTGGCACGCGCATGGTGCCACGCGCTCTCAGGTATGTGTTTAGATAGACTACTGGAGTTGGTACGATTAAATTTTTGGTACGAAAAATTGTTTAGCATTAATAATATTTTTTTTCTAAATGTGAATTAAAACAAAATCAACATTTAATAAATATTTCAAAATGAAAGACACGCTATTCGCGCGAGCGCGCACGTGCACCTGCTCTTCCTTGGGCCGCGCGGGAATCATGTGAGCAGTCACATGGTCAAATATTCTTCAATCAGAGGTCAGAACACTAATGGATATGTAAAACATCAAGTTGGGATTATTTAGGAAAGGCTTTATTTGCATTTAAAAACTTGCGCATATATTTATAAAATTATTTTTGAAATAGTTTGATAACTCAACTGACTAAATACAACAAAGATCTAATTCAAGTGGTTAGTGAACAAAATATACACATGAAAAGCAGTTGCCTAGTATTTATTGCATCGTTGCTATAGATTAGATTTAACAGTGAATAATGCACAAATATTTTTAGAAGAGTAGCCAAACATTAGACAGTTCCTCTATTTTGTAGAACATGCGCAGGAAATTAGAGCACATACTATCCAATAACTCAAACAGACCACAGGCTGATTTATTCAGATATTTCAAAATTACCATGTTCATTAAGTCAGATCAGTAACATTTATTTACACATGCTCAAATGCTGACAGGTTTTTTCGCTATTACCAGGAAACAGTAGGTGAAATATCAGGAATTGGTATTTATATGCATATTTCTCGCAGATGTGTTCGAGGACTTTCATAGCTTTGCAAACAGCCTTTATTTCCTGAAACAAAAAACACATTTAATTAAAGCCTGGGGAGGTATTTTCAAGCACCATATCTGTAATCAATTTAGGTCAAAGTATTAGTTACCTTTTTAATCTCATGGAGAATAATGCCCTTGATCTCATGAATTGACTTCTTGCAAACCCAGCACGTAATGACGTTCATATCAGACTTCAAGGAAAACGTGTTTGAACATTAGTAACTTTATATCTATTTTATTGTATTGCATTAGTGTGTCAGTTTACCTCTATGCTTAATTCATGACTTTTGTCTTCTTCTGGAAAGTTCAGTTCATTTCTCTCCAGCATGTTCTTCCAATCTGCTTTGTTAGTGCTGCTACACTCAACAAGAACTGAACCATAAAAACAGACAACATTTATGTGCAGAATTGAATGAATGTGATTGTAAAAAAATTCAGTAGAGCAAATGTGAGATAATGAAAAGAGCCCCAGTAGAAGTTTGAAGTTAAATGAGACTCACCTGAGCACATGATAAGCAGTCCCACATGAATGACAGGTGACATGATTCTGCAAATCTTCTCCTTAGAAAAAAGCTGCTTGGCTTCTACACGTCTGGGTGATTTTAAGTTCGGACACGCTCTGTGTTTGTCATGTGCTCTCCTTTTCTCACAGTTATGTGTAACGTTGAAGATAATAAATGTCTACGCAAGTCTTTTAAAGTGATGATGTTCAGGGCACCAAAACCACAGTGAACCAAATTGTCAAGTTTTAATGGAGCTCCTGTCAGCATTTTCTAACACTGTACTGTATGTCTGTTCAGTTCACCACCTAACCACCAGTAATACATACTTAAAGCAGATGTCCAAATTAAATGCTAGATTACACTACAAGTAAAATAGTGTAAATGGCTAAATAACCATCAGCTATTAGGTTATGAGTTTCAGATGTGAATTTATGTGCTTTCTGCATTTAAAAAAAACAAACAATGAATCATAAACTCACACTGCTTTTCCATTTAAAACATTTATTTTGACAAAACAAAGGAAAAAGTCTTCTCTAAACAGCTGATAATTTGATTGACTTAATCAATATTTGACCCTTTCTTTGCACATGTTGTACTTAATGCAGGACCTTAGAGGACTTCCTGGGAAATATCCTTTGATGACCCGATTTTTCACAAATCTGCCTAATATTCTACACGTTTTCCAGAAATATAGGGTGGGACTGCATACAGACTTTATTTTCTAAAATAGAAAAAAAAAAAGAAAAAAGATTTTTATAAAAATAAAGTTTTTATCATCAGTGTAAGACAAATAAATACATTTCTTGACATTTTCTGTGAATAGTTTCGTAAACAAAGTAACAGAGCTGTAACCATAATATGGCTAATAATACAAAGATATATCCCAGGAGGGCTTAGCAAATCATATTTATAAACTTTATTTTATCTTCCTTTTTAATTGAATAGAACTTTAAATTCCTTATGTTTTTAACAAACAAAAATTGAAAAACAGCTTCAGGAATAAAAGTGATATTTACCTTGTCAATTACAGCGTTTATAATGGGTATATATGTCTTTATCATTTTCATACATATACAACATTTTATGGCCATCTAGGAAGAGAAATAATAAGGGATGGTTATTAAGAAATTCCTTGCTAGAATTTATATTCCACACTACTGTCCTCCGAACTTCACCACAGGATTATTTTGTACATAATTTTTACTTTTAGCATGAGAGATGACAACATTCTTATAGATATATCCATTTTATTACCTTGGAAGTACACAGATCTTCCTTGTTGTCATAGAAGGTGATTGTTTGTAACGTCTCACAACTGGCCTCATATGGAGAACTTTCAGCAGCAGCTGCACAAAATATAACATCAAAAATGTATATAATATAATACTGTAAATTATAATCTTACAAAATGCAGACAAAATGTGATTCTGATTTAACATTCCACTGAAGTTAATCATCAGATAAAATAAATGAGTCAAAGTACTAAAATATACCAATATCTTACCAAAGAGAATCACAAAAGATCCAACGATACAGGCTAGATACATTTTTCTAAAAGAGCACTCTAACCTCATTTCTTTTTTCTGATATGAGCACAGACAAAGCTGCAAAATGAAGTGTGTTAAGCAAAGTAAGTTGAACCCTCCCCTAACCCTGGACCATTTGTTCCAATGATGTAACAAAAGTAGACAGTTGCATCTTGTTGCTGATCTCTATTATTGAATTCAAGTTTACAAGTCAATTTCTGTTAAACATCATGGGTCTGGAACCGCAGTCCTGATAGTTCAATGCTAATTACCCAAGGTCAGAAACTTCATCAGTGTTCAATGTGCATTTTATATTAGCATCCTATACACCCAAAAGTTCCATTTACTTTTTTCTTTTTCTTTTTGTAAGATTGACAGCCCTCTGGTCCCCATTTACAATCATTGAATGGAAAAGAGCAGCGTTCAGATCCTGACTATAAATAAATAGTAAATAGTACTGTCATAAATAGTAAACGTTCAATTTTTTTTACTAAATTGACTACATTTGAAACTATTCTAAACAGCAGCTGAAAAACACCCGATATAAACTCCAATCTCCAGTTACGAGCAACTGTTTGATTAAGAATGGTGAGGAAACAAAAATGATCAAAAGCAGTATTTAAAAATATTTTTATTTGAATTTATTTGGTAACATCATAACTATAATTAATAAATCATTAAACATTATGCTTAACAGATCATTAGTTAGTATATATTCACATAAATATGTGATAATGCTCATGTTAATGTGTACTAATTAACTTCAACATTGCAGAATAATTAACAGATCACCATTTAATGTAAATAGAAATGTTTACAAATATCGTTAAACTTTCCATTCATAATATGATCATGCTTTTTTAAAATCTACAAGTTATTTTGACAGATGGTTTACAATGTGTCACTGAAGGCGAGTTGCTGAACCCATGTGGAATTCGTGACAGGAGTCAGGAGTGTCAAGTTTTAATGGAGCTCCTGTCAGCATTTTCTAACACTGTATGTCTGTTCAGTTCACCACCTAACCATCAGTAATACATAAGCAGATGTCCTTAAATACTAGATTGCACTATAAAAGTGAAATGGCTAGATAAAAGATAACCATCAGCATTATTAAATTATTACTTTTGTGTTTCAGATGTGAATTTATGTGCTTCCTTTTTGGCATTTTAGTATTTTTTTAAAAAACAAATGAATCATCAACACACTGCATTTGCATTTAAACCATTTATTACCTTTTGACAAAACAAAGGAAACAAACTGATATTTGATTTACCTGTTACTTTAGCTTTAATCATCATTCCTTTACATTGCACATTTTCTTTTTATAACAGGACTGTAGAGGATTTAGATATACAATTAAGAGCTTAATTTTCATCTTCTTGACAAGATTTGTACATTTTTTTCGGAGAAACTTGTTGGCATTGCATACAGAACGCATATACTATAAGAGAGAAAACAAATAATAAGATGGTTTCAATAAAAAGTAAACTTACATCAGTGTAAGACAATATAAGACACACATACATTTCTTGACATTTTCTGTGAATAGTTTCGTAAACAAAGTAACAGAGCTGTAACCATATGGCTAATGATACCAAGATCCCAGGAGGGCTCAGCAAATCATATTATGTTATCTTCCCTTTTAAATGAATGTATGTGTTTAAGTTCACAAATAGTGTGTTTTCAACAAACAAACAAAAATTTTAAAAACAGTAATTCAGGAATAAAAGTGATATTTACCTTGTCAATTAGAGCGTTTATAATGGGTATATATGTCTTTATCGCTTTCAAACATATACAACATTTTATGGCCATCTAGGAAGAGAAATAATAAGGGATTGTAATTAAGAAATTCCTTGCTAGAATTTATATTCCACACTAATGTCCTCCAAACTTCACCACAGAATTATTTTGTACATAATCTTTACTTTTAGCATGAGAGATGACAACATTCTTATAGATATATCCATTTTATTACCTTGGAAGTACACAGATCTTCCTCGTTGTCATAGAAGGTGATTGTCTGTAACGTCTCACAACTGGCCTCATATGGAGAACTTTCAGCAGCAGCTGCACAAAATAATGTCATTATATATATAAATATATATATATATATATATATATAGGTAATCAGATCAAACAAATGAGTACTAAATGAGTACAAAAGTGGTACTAAAACATTTCTTACCAAAGAGAATCACGAAAGATCCAACGATACAGGCTAGATACATTGTTCTATAAGAGCAAAAACCTCGTTTTGTTTTCCTTGTTTTTTTTCATGATATGAGCACAGACAAAGCTGCTAAATTAAACAAAGTAAGTTGAACCCTCCCCCAACCCTGGACCAACTGTTCATTAGTTCCAATGGTGTAACAAAAGTATTCCGTTGCTTCTCATTGCTGATCTCTATTGAATAAGTTTAAAAGACATCATGGGTCTGGAAACTTCAACAGTGTTTAAAGTGCATTCACTTTATTATTTTTATTTTTGAAGCTTGACAGCCCTGTGGTTACTTTCATTGAATGGAATTTATCAGTGTTCAAATCCATAATAAATGATGTCATAAAGTTCTAGTATTCTACTAAATTGACTACGTTTTTCTACAGCACCTAAAATATTCTCTATTGGGTTGATAAAGTATCATAAACTTCAACTGTTTGACTATGAATGGAGCAAACAAAAGTTTAAATTCTAAAGCACCATTTGAAAAATATTTATTTCACAGAATTATTTTAATTTTGCATAGATTTTTTGAACTGCATTGATGTGAATTATTGGGTCTTGGGGAGAGACAACAACTTTAATGAAAAAACAAGGAAATGCATTATTACAATCAACAGAAAATAACCAGAAAGTCACATGCATATTATTTGATTTTGAATGTGTAATTTATGTGAAACATAAGACAATCTTATACCCCAGGATCCACAAAAAAGCACCTCCAGTACAATAAACATCCATCTAGATTATATTTTAAAGGGGTTAAACATATCTTTTAACTGCATTTGTTGATCTTGTAATCACATAACCTCATCACTCTGCAGGTGGCTATAGGAGTACGTCCAGGAAAAAAGGTTCTCAGTATGGAATTTTTGTATCCGATGGCTACAGAATAGCAGAAAGATTTAAAGGGTTCAATCCATTTAGCACATTTTTTATCGATTTCCTGAAAAGCATAAAGAAAAACAGAAAACCCTATAGGCAAACATTCAAGTTGATGACAAAAAAAATGTGTATGCATTGAAAATACACTGATATTCTATTACCAATTTTCTCTCAAAAAATGAAAAACATGCAGTTTTGGTCATTTTAAAAACAGATTACAGTGAAGTTAGCTAGTAACAGTCAATGTAAATGTATCCTACAGCCATTGTCACATTTGTTAGCATAACTTTATCTTCAAACATGTGCCCCTTGGATTCCCACCAGGGAAGAGTTTGTGCAGTATGATGTCCCGATATCTCCATGCACGCTTCAAGCAGATCTTTCGAAAACCCTCTATGAATTTGTAACAGACATTGTTTATCTTCTGTAAAATAAAAATGTACAAAATAGAACTTTATGATTAAACGGAAACAACTGTTAGCTACAAAGCTATATTTTCTTTTTCATTATTAATTAAATGTCCTTGTGTGACACAAGCTGTCCAATGAATAAATTCACATTGAAGTTACTTCTAACTATTCTAACTTCTAGCTATACTCATTTGATTAAATTGGATAATCACAAATACTTTACTCAGACTAAATCAAACTTGAGCTTTTTCTCAATTGTTCTGAGACAACTGAACATTACCTTGGAAATCTTTAGATTAACTGCTTTCCTAGCTCGTCTTACGGCCTCTTGGCATACGCAACAGAAGATGATGTTCGGACGCTTTCTCTGCATGCGAGGAATGGGAAAATGAGCTCAAAAAATCAGAATAATGAAATGAATGAGTCTTATGCAAAGTGGCCGTAGTAATGTACGTACTGAGAAGTCATTTCCATAGCCGTCCGTCAAACTGTGTAGGTTTTCAGAATGCGAAGGCATTTCTGGCTCCCACCAAACTGAAAGAGCTTCATTTTCACTCTCTCCTAGGGCTTTCCATTAAATGAAAATGCTAAAATCACTATTTTAATTCACATAAACTGAATGATAGTATGATTCCATAGTAAATAAATCAATTCAAATCAATATTGGAATGTCAACAAATGATATATCTTACCTGAGCAAGAGATCAGAAAAACAAAATAAACGATTAAAAACATTGTGTCGGATTCAGGTACTGATTCCCTCTCACTTTCCTTTTTGCTTAATATTAGCTTACCAGCCTCTCTCTCTCTCTCTCTCTCTCTCTCTCTCTCTCTCTCTCTCTCTCTCTCTCTCTCTCTTTTTTTTTGTGCAGAGGCACAACAGACCAGTCTCAAATAACTATAAATGTGACATTGTTACAACTAAATACACTGCTGTCTAATTTATGAAATCAGGTCATTGGAGTCACTGCAATGTGATTAGGATGACCATTCTTGGAGGTGCAGTATTAATATCACACACAGAAAATAAAAATACATGCACTGGGAAGTCAATTTAATTTTAATTTTATTAATTATTTTATTGTATTGTATTATTTTCATTTTATTTTGACCAAAACTGTTTCAGCAGTTTTTTTCTTCTGGTGATTTAAAACTGTTTACTCATGTCCTGTAAAGAAGCTGAGAGAAATCTAAAAAGCACCACAACACCACAGTGCTAAACGGTTGCTTTATCTTTTGTTTGAGAGGCACTAAATGTACTGTTTTTTTCTTTTAGCAAGCGTGAGAATAACACATGAGAAAATGCAGAAGCAAGTACATTTTTTCTGGATTGCTAACACACAATTCATGAAACATTTCACCATTTTTTTAGAACCAAGATCCAAACTGGAGTTGATGTACAAATGGAAAATAATTAGCGTAACTGCTGTTTATAATATTAATCGTGGATAATGATGTGCCTTTGATATAAATGGATTACAAGGTTATGAGATGCATTATGTGAATGCTTGGCTAAAGAGATCTTTAATCTAGATTTAAACTGGGAGACTGAGTCTGAGCCCCGAACATCATCAGGAATGCTATTCCAGTGTTTAAAACTTAATGTGACTAGCAAATGTGAAAACGCTCTCCCTCCTTTTCCTTTAGCATATAGGCTACCACCAGAAGCCCTGAGTTTTGTGATCTTAAAAGAGTGTGATGGATTGTAGGATGATAGAAGAAGATTGGTTAAATATACAGGAGCTAAACTGTTTTGGGCCTTAGGTCAGAAGCATACTTTAATCAACGTGGAACTTAATATAGTTAACCAGTATAAAACTGATAAAATTGGTGTTATGATCATATTTTCTTGGTAAGAACTCTAGCAGCTGCATTTTGGATTCATTTTAGCTTGTTAATTGAGGATGTAGGACAACCATAATGTAGGCCTATTACAGTAATCCAGTCTAGAGGTCATGAATGCATGAACTAGCTTTTCTGTATCAGAAACAGAAAGCATGTTTTATAGCTGAGGTGGAAGACAAGTGGCTGTCTAATCACCCAGGTCTTTAACTGTAGACTAGAGGATAGAGTAACGCTCGTTTCACACATATGGCCTACTCAGTGTGCAGTGCGTACGGTACAGGAGCAGCAGGCGCTAGTGCTTTCACATATGCTGCGTTTGCAGTGCGCAACTGATCCATCCGCGGCTTTACCACAAACACATTTGTATTTCAAAGTTATCAGCAACTTTTATTTTAAAAAGTTGTCAGCAGTGTGATTATCCTTTAAACACAATTTCAACAACGTACAAACTTTGTATTGAAGGGGAATATGTGTTCCCCATAGGCTACTGAAGTGTTACCGAAATTTCCCTTGTATAAAGTTACTGTTACTAATAATTATACTGTATGTGTAATAGGAACCCTGTAGATTAATCTTTCATCTCTCTCTCTCTCTCTGGTGTTAGGATGCATTTTCTAAAGCATATAAAATCTACTTTCACCAAGCCCCTGACTCTTCTGACAAATTCAAACAATCGGCTTGAACCCATTTCAACTGTTCTCAAAATCAAACAAAGCTTTCAAATCATACACCCAGACAGTCAATATATAAACACAGCAGGGACCCCAAGAGAAAAACAAGTGATTTTTTTTGTCATCTCTGTATCACAGTTTTCAATGATCTGCCTGCTATTATGGCTGAATATTATATTTATATGGCAAATAAGGGAAGTTAGAGATGTTTAGGTTGCTGAACTGTCAGCTTAAAAAAGTGCATCGTGTTAGATTCACACGTGAAAACTGCACTTAACCCTCAGGTGCACCTCAATTGGGGGTAGCTCTTGTTATCTTCCCTGTCAAAAGTGACCATACACCTAAAAATGAAACTTCCTCCACCCCATAAACCAATGCAATTTATTTTTGTTCAATATCCATCCATTCATCTTTTGTATTTTAAAAAAGTTTTTCAATTAATTCAATATTTCAGATTAATATAGAGACAAGGCCTTTTAAATCCATTTTATTTATTTTTTAAGTCAAAACCATCTGTTGATGGAAAATAAAATAAAACAAGTCATTTCATGGTTTACATGCTTGTTGTATTAGCTCTCTATGGAGAGGCTTGTAAATTCTCTAGTTGTTTTTGGACAAAATTACTTTCTTTTAAGATGTGGATTTGAATGTATTTTTTTATAAATCCTCAAATATTACTTTTTTCAAGATTCATAAAAAATAAAAAATAAATTTGATGTGAAGTGTACACGTTTTTGCATTACTACAGTCAAACCTGAATACATGAGAAAGCGTTTGGTTACACGTAACATTAAAATTCAATTTAAAAAAATGTACAAAAATGAACAGGAATGCTTTATCACAACTATTATTTATAGATTATTATTAGTATTATTAATAATAAGATTAATCCATCTTAATCCAGTTTAATCCATCAGGATCTGATCTTTCCATTTTATTAGGACATACAAAAAATACAATTTCATGATAAAAAACAAAACTTTACTTGATATCAGGTTAAGTCGCCCCTTTGGGGGTCCACATTTAGCTTTTAATACCTTGTTATTTCAAAATATTTCATATCTGTTTGTCTGTTAAATGTGATGCAGACTTATTTCAATAAAGCACAGCACAAATAAGATCAGTAAATAAACTTTACTTCTGTACATAAAGTATATACACAGAAATATCATGACAATGCTCAACAATCAGCCAGCTTCTAAATTTTAACTCGCTTTTAACACCAGCATTTAACTCAAATTAAAATAATATCAAAAGACCAGACAAGATGAGTTAACTTTGTTTGAAATTAAATTAAATTAAATGTCTATACTTCCATGACATAAAGTACTAGCCCAACGCATTTCCACAACGCGTTTTCGTTCAGAGCCAGCGTGACGTGACTGAGAGCAGCAGAAACGGAGGAGCAGAGCAGTGAGAGGCACTTGTCACTGCCCGGCAAGTTTAAAAGGCTGTATTGCAAATCCTTGTCGTTAGAAAAGTCCAAAATAAATCGTAAAAGGAAACGTGACCGTAGATTACAAAAAATATCAGTTAATGTCGGGATAGCTTTTTCCAGGTGGATAGAGATCAAATCTGTTCACCCGAAGGAACACTCAACGAAGTACTAATCCTGTCATAGCTTTTTGGTACATAACGGCTACCGTAGATGCAACACGCATTTGAAAAAGCGAGGCGCTGGAGAGCACAATTCGTTTGAATGCAAAATACATTTTCACCGCTAGATGGGAGAAATTCCTACATTGTCCCTTTAAGTAAAATAAAAGTAAATGGTCAAATTCTGAAGTGTTACTGATGGCAAAACACAAAGACAAAAAAAAAAAAAAAAAAAAAAAAACACCTGTAGATTTATTGAAGAAAAAAAACTTTTATGGAAATATTTGAAGCATTAAATATGTTGCTTTAAATTTAAAACAGTGTGAAGTGAGTTTTAATGCTATAGTGAATAGTTGATTGTTAAAACTGCTGCAATTGCTGACCCCTTACACAAGCATTCAATAAATTAAATACAGAAAACACAATTCTCTCGGATGAGAGAAAGTATGACTTACATTCATTGTATGCGAAACACACATACAATGGGCCCCAAAAAGTATTTGGACACTTTAGCTAAACTTGAAGTATGCATATCATTGTAGATATCAAAATATCAAACCAAGTGGCGTTTAAAGAAATATAGGTTTAAGATTGAAATTAAATAATACATATACATTCTAGTTGTCAACAACCTTGATAGTATTTGGTTAAAATTCGTTGGAAAATAAATGTCTTAGAAAAGTGAAATTTGTTCAGAGAAAAGCTTGGTATCATTTGTTTGCAGATGATTTGATGGTTTTGTTATTTAAGAACTCTGGCGAACAATGAATCTAATAAAACATCGGTACCTAGTCAATCGTTCTCTGAGATTTGTTTTCATAATAATCGAAAGTAAAGAGTTTTATCTCTGAGCCTCATTATGTTACTTTGTTAGTTTGGGGCTGAGCCTTGTTAGTGGTATAAACTAGCAGTTTCTTTTTAGTTAATGCCCCCATTACTAGCATTAGGCGTAAAAAAAAAATTGTTTGTTTCCGGTTTCCGACCGACCCTGTCAATTTATGTGCGACCCAAAATTATTTTATGAGCTTGGGGAAGAAATAATAAAAATTAAATAAATACACAAATAAAAAACTCTGAGGCGAACTATTAATTTACGTTTTACAGCTCCGTCTTTTTATAGCACGTGATGTAAGATGCATCTTGTCCTCCAGCAATCTATTAACAAACGAGGCAGATATCGTTCGTCAAACTGAACTATAATACATATTATACAAGTCTTTTTTTGTAATTTAGGATATTTTTATTCGTATTCGCACACATACAAATACATGCATTCATAGGCATGCACACACCACATAATACCTCCATCCGCCTAGTTTTATTAAAAAATCATCCTATCATGATCCAATCATGATCCCAATCCCATCTTCTGCTGTCTAGCACTTCTTTCGCCATGTATTTGTTCGTTTCTTTCATTATTTTATGCAATCCAAAACACTCTAACCTGCCGCGGTTCGTATCTCCCGTCTAACTTGTCCGCTTTTCCAGGACAAATAGATTTTTGAAGGACAAGTAAAAGAGAATTTTACTCGCCCCAACGGACAAGTAGCCTGATTAGAACATAAATAACAAACAAAAAAAATAACTAGGGAATCACTAAACCGAGAGAATGATTCTGATTTTATTACATTTATTGCAAGTTGCGATCGATTGTGGATAATAAATGTAGCAGGCAGCAGCTACTGTATTACTGATGGTAAGGTTGCGCTGTTGACGCTCGCGCAGAGAAA